AAAAAAAAACTGTACAAACGGGAGAACAACGCTATAAGGGAGGATCCATCGACATTCACAAAAGAAAAACCATCGAATTCAACCACATCACGAGAATGATGATGCAAATCAAAAATTACGATTCAGTTCCAAAGTTACATATGCAAATTCAGTAATAAAACGATCAAGAAGTGAACAAATAGACCCTTCCTTAACAACGTACTTCCAGAATGTATTGCCATTCAGACTAGTTCAAATGGCACTGTGTTGCGCAGTAGCTGCTAGGAGTTTGAGAGAGTTCAAACTCATAATAACTGCATCTAAACAGCGTAAAGTGGTTTCAAGTTGTTTTCAAAGTAATTCTGCCATTGGGAATTTCCGAGGTTGTGGTATATCTGTTAAACCTTGAAAAAAAAAAGGTACTGTGCTGAGTGCTGTACATAAACTGCCTGGAAGCCGCACCATTATTCTAACCTAAACTACTTGCGCAGCAAACAAAAGAATCTATACTTTTAGGAGTGTCAGAACTGCCGTTAAAGATTTGGAGATGCAGCCGAAAGGCTGGTGAATCTCGAGGAGACTGTTCTTAACTCCACCACCAGTAGAATGACTCAGTTTTGCAAGAAATACCTCAAATTTCCTTTGTAAAACTCAAAAAAGCCGATTAGCTGTTTGCAGTAAGGGAGTTTCTCACTAAACCTACAAGTTCACACTACCCTACAAATCAAATTCACAGCCATAACCAGTTTAGGAAAGGGTATGTGGACTCTCAGCTACACGGCACAAAATAAACAAACAAAATCAACAAAAAACAACAAGGCCAGGTAGGAAATTCCAAATGAATAACGAAGAACCTAACCGAACTCGAACGAACAGAACAAAACATGTTGGCCCAAAATTTGAACATGCTCAACGGCTAACCTGCGCATCTAACTACGGTACTTTTTAGAAATTTTTTGGATTTGACGGTTATTTTCGCTGCCAATTCATTCCATGGTGTTATACCAATTTCTTTGATTCGAATCGACCGGATTACTCCAGCACCTGTGAATATTTTGGGTTCCATGGGCTCAGTGCTAGATAATGGCCACCGAATCTACGGACGTCACGGACACGTGAGTTGATTTGTTATTTGTCACAATCAGCTGATTTGTAGATCACAGATTTGATTTTAGGGAAGTCTAATCGGATCAAAATGTGATGAGATGGAAGATCGGGGGTCAAACAGCGGGGCCCTTTGCCATTTTTGTGTAGCTTAACTTTGAACGGTGTAGTAAAGTAACCTAAAGTGAAATTCCATTGAAAGTTAGAGGCTAGAGGACATAGCGGGAATTCTTTCGAATAGGCATGAACGGCATTTGTTAAATATGCCTTTGATAATTCTGCTTTTCTACTAATTGTGGCTT